GCATTGGATCAATTAATTCCTTTAAAAAATGATTAAAGCAAAATTGTTAAAGAAATATGAAATTGTTTAATTTGTATTTGTGAGTCACTGAGGAGGTGGATTTTTTCGTTTTGTTTTATTATTTGGTTTATTGTTTGAAATTAATATTTTTTGTAAATAGGAGCAGATATCAAGATCTTTTTCTTCTTCTGCTGCCTTTCATTTTATTTTATTTGTATTGTTTTGTTCAATGTAATGTTTTGTTTTTTTTAATGAAATGAATAAATACTATAAACTAAACAAAATGAATGGGTCACAGATCAATTTCTTGAAAAAGAACGGAGGGTAGAATTTATAACCCACAGATTTTATTATGTAGGCCGAAACTGAGCTTCCTCTTCTTGAAAGACCAGCATCCACCACTGGTTTACAGTTATACATGTATACTGTTAAGAGTGGTTGAGTTTTCACCATTTGTCTGTTTTAGATCAGTTGGTTGTGGCGACATCTCAAGCAAAACAAGGCCAAAAAGTAATCAGAAGTACAACCATTGACCAATTTCTGAATGTTACATAACATTTTCTTCAGTGGTCCATGAAATGCTTCCATAACACCAAAACAGAKTTGATTCCAACAATTAATAGCATTTTCAACACCAATGTTATGATAAATTAGAGCTCTGAGAGTTAGGAATAAGTCTCAGTTACTACCAAGTTTTTTTTAATCTGTTCAGTAATTCACAAGATATTTTCTAATGGTACAAACAATAAAACACACATACTCTCACACACGTTAAAACCAAAGTGATGAATAACAAAMACACAGGCCCCGTTTTTTAAAATGTTAACTAACATAAAAAATGTAAAGTAAAAAGAGAATTCTAACCAAGCTATGCTTTGACACCATGAGGGAGAGATACTTCCTGGGTGTGTAAAGCGTTTTCTGTTAAGGTGTGTGAAGATAACGTGTGAAACTTCATCATTGCAACATGACTCTTTAAAATATGTACGAAGTTTCTTCATTTCATTTTAATAACTAAATAGTTGTTTYTGCTCTGACCTGGCAACATCCCTGGATTTAAGTTTGGAAATCTGGTGACCTTATAAAAGTAATAACAGAGTAGCTGAAAGTAGCAAAAGGTGAGCTAACATAAAAAAGGCAAAAGTGACAAACAAATTAAAAATAGAAAAACAATTGTTACAATCAATAGGTAAGTAGCAAAAATCAAGCTCAAACTTCAACGAAGCAGAACAGTAGCTACAAGGTGCAAAAGGCAGGCCAACAGCTAAAACTAACAAAAGGATAGCTTAAAAAGGTAGCAGAACACTAGCTAGAAGCTAAAATTAGCAAAAGGTTTACTAAAAACTAAAAGTGGACAACTAGTAGCTAAAAACAAAATTGAATTGAAAAAATCAACAAGAAGGTTCTTTTTGGTGTGTACATAATAAGATTCTAACAAATTGATCAAATATATAACTTTTATTAGTAATTTAGACAGAAAAAAGTTTCAGAATTTGGCATAAGTTATCTAGTGTGACAGGACCTTTAGCTTTGATTACGACACACGTTCCCTGTGGCATTGTTTGGATAATTAGTTACGGTAGTTAGTTAATTCATTTCATTCAAAACAAACAAATTTTTTTACACACATTAAAAACTAAAAACAAAACAAAAATGTATATACACAACATACTGTATATACACAACAT